CCTGAATTCCCTCTATGTATAAGGCACTGGGCTGGATGTCATGGGAGATATGGATGTGAATAACACCTTGTCTCTACCTAAATTGATTTTTTTTATAGGCTGGCAGTGAATAAAACACATGTACATGAATAACTACAGAAAACAGTGTGGTACAGTGGCTAGAGAGCCAGCCTTGGAATCAAGAAGTCCTGGGTTCAAATCCTGCACATACTGTGTGACCCTCAGCAAGTACCTAATTTCTCAGTTCTCCAAATAACTCTCTAAGACTCTAAGTTACAAATGAGTTGCCATCCTGTGTGGCCCTACTCATCATTCTTACAATTGTTTAAACCAGACCTCCACAAGATGCAGCCCCTTTGGCTATGTTGCACAGGCCTGCTCAAGGGTATTAGGCCTCTTAATCACTTCTTAAAGGGATAATGAGCCCTAATAGCTCTGTCTGAGAATAGCCTTGGGGTCTGATGATAACCTGGGTCACAGTTACATCCTCTACATTTTTTTTTTCGGGCTGCCAGGAAATCCTTTGGCAGGCAGCAAGTGGCCTGTGGGTGGTATGTTGTGCAGACCTGCTCTAGACCAAAACTCCTCTCCCTGGCCACCACTTCCCTATATGTGTTGTACCCCTCAATTAGGATACAAGTTCCTTGAGAGCAGAGACTCTCTTGATTTTAATTGGTATCCCCAACATTTAGCTCAGTACTTCTATGACTTTTCCAGAGTTGCAGAACTAGCGAGAGTCTGAGTGAGGACTTGAACTCAGGTCTTCCTGATTCATCAACTAAGCCCAGCTGCCTCTTTGAACTTAGCTAGCCTTGGATGAAAGTCATAAGATGAAATCCTAGAGCCTATACTTGCAGCTTTTCTAGCTTTCTCAGACTTGCTTTAGAGCTTGTGATCTCTTGGCATAACCATTAAGAACCCAGGATCACTTCTATATGCCATTGAAACATCAGGGAAGGCACTGGATAGGATTTTTAGCAGAATACCTAGAAACCCTCATAATCAGTTAAAATAATGAAATGTGTTCTACAAACAAATGAGTCCATTACTTTTACATGTAAATCTAATGAACTCCTCCTCTAAACATTTTCTTCTCTTGGCTATATAAACCCTACTGCATTTTCCTCATGAGATCTAAACCATATCCTCGTTGCCATTTTGGTTTCTCTCCTCTGGGCCTCCCCAGGCGTTTTGAGCAGCATTGTCTTTCTCCATCTTGAATCTGTAGGATAAATTTTAATTTTTTAAGTGAATCTTATTTACATCTCCATAGTTCTTTGCCCTGTCTGGGATATTTTCAGCACCAATCTCTTCTTTGATAAGCATGAAAACATCAGCAAACCTAATGAAAAAGCTACATATTTTGTTACTAAAAAAATTAAACAGAGCTAAGTCTAAGGCTAATGAGAGGCATGATGGCATACTCAATAAAGAGCTGACCTCAAAGCCATGAAGATCTGGGTTTGAGTTTTGACTGAGCCATACTGGATATGTGACACGTAGCAACACTTTCTCTCTGACTATAACTTGGAGTAGTAGTGGGAATTTCTTCATGCCACTGAAATCATAGATTAACTTCCCATCCCCGATTCTAGGAACAATACTGATAGAATTCCACTCAAAATGCCTCCAGAGATTGACATACCACTAATTATCATTCTTTCGGTATAACCATCCAAACCTTTTGGTAAAACCAAAAGGGTTTTAATCTTGGCTCTGTCACTACTTGGGTGACTTTAAATATGTCCTTCACTGCTTTGCTCCTATGACTCAGTTTTCTCATCTTTAAAATGAAGGAGTTTGATTAAATGATCCCTAAGATCCCTTCTACCTTAAAATTCTATAGAGCTAAATAAGTTGTGTTTTGTTTTTTAGAAGTGGAGATTCATGAGCAATGGATCTAGATATAGTTCCACTGAACTTTTTTCTTAAGAATTAAGATCAATAATGTAGTAAAGAGAATGCTTCCTAATAGACTGTAAACTCTTTGAGGGCAAGCACTATGTTTTATTTGCTTATGTATTTCCCCCAGTACCTATCACATAGTTTAGGTTAAATAAATATTTGTTGAATGACTGACTGAATGAAATGTTCTAATCATGCCAGCTTGGAAGAATAGGCTTGATACAGAAAACACACTAAACAAATTGTGTGAACAGAATTAATGATCACGGCTCGTGGAAGCAAAGTCTTACAAAAGTTCATTGCATCTCTTGCTTGTCCTGATCTGCCAGATGTGGTATTTTGGTATGAATTCAGTATTTCAGTACTCTGATAAGTCTATGACATCATTAACGTGGGAACTCCTTCCTCTTAATGCTGATTTCAATCCCTTCCACATCTCCTTATCTTGTGCAAATCTTGTCCATGTCTTCCTAAAAGCTCTCTGCTGAGAGTCCAACTGTTAATAGACATTCCTCTAGAAATTAGCAGTGTTCTTAATGTGGGGTTCATTAACTTTAAAGATAGATAGACAGATAGATAGATAGAGAGAGAGAGAGAGATAAGCAGATAGGTAGACAGACAACTATTTCAATATAATTGATTTCATTTGTAATCTATTTTATTTTATGCATTTAAAAATGTTATTCTGAGAAGGGGGTCCATAGGCTTCACCAGATTGACAAAGGGGTCCACGACACACACACACACACACACACACACACACACATCCCATTAAGAAACCCTTTCTTGACATTACGTGTGTAGCACAAAGGCAGTCCTCTTGTTGTCATTTACTCTTGTAACGTGGCTAGCTCATTTCCTTTCCCTGTTATACATCTCCCTAATGTCTTTTGGTATGCATTTTTTTTGAAAGATAGCATTTATGTAATAGTTTAAGGTTTGTGAGGTGCTTTACACACATTATCTCATTTGGCCCTCACAGCAACCGTGTGGGTGCTATTATTACTCCAACATTACAAATGAGGAATGGAGGCTAAAAGAAGTTATTGACTTGCTCAAGGTCACACAGCTTGTACATGTTCAAGGCAAGATTTGAACTGAGGTCTTTCTTAATACAAGACCCGAACTCTCTCCACTGTGCCTCCTGGTTGCCTCTGTGCCATTTTTTTTTTTTTTTGACAATAAGCTACATCTTTGTGGCATGAGTTCTAACAGGGAAGTTCCCTAAACTGAATTGTCTTGTTCCATGGACCAGTAGAAGGGGACCTCAGAAGTAAGATAGGTTATAGATTTGAAAGGTGAAAGCCTTTCTGGAAGCTAGACTATGCTCAAATAATAAACCAATAACTCTGGGTTAACTTTTACAGTTTATAATGTCATTAGCCCTGATGCTCAATATCTCTGAAGGGCTCTTTTTATGAGTGTTCTGAGTGTAAAAAAGAGAAAAGAAAAAAAGAAAAGAAAAGAAAAGAAAAGAAAAATAGGAGGCCAATAGAAAATAAACAGAGCACACCTTGCTTTGGGTTTAGAGCTATTCTGGTATGTCCCATCCTCCCACTGAATCAAGATGCTTTTAAATGGGACCAGCACCGGAGAAAAACCCAATGCTCACAAGTATAAGGATTCAGTGGCTGACATTCAGACGTAGAAAGATGTGTCTAATTACAGACACTTATTACAATTCCCAGAAGCCACCAGCTAGTCTCACCGCATTGTTTTACACACTAGCTTCATCTGAATCTTTAAGCACTCTGCCCCATCAAACAATCAAGTGTTGCAAACCAGAAAATAAACTACATTTCATAGCTAGACATCAGTGGCTAATTAGGAGGCAGCATTATTTCCCAATTGTTCATTGTAGATACAGTGCATTTTCAATAGGAAACCATCTGCATGTTGCATGTGTGTGGTACAATCTGTCAAATACAATACTAAAATGTGGAAACTGAAGGTCTATTCAAGTAGGCCTACAAATGCCTGGCCACCCAAGTAACCCTTCTTCTTATGCTCTGCTGAACCCCATTCAAAGTCAGCTGAGGGTCAAATGCAGCTTATGGTATTACAGAGTTTAAAAATATTAGATTGCTCTCACTCCACCTCCATTATTCAGTTTCAGTTTCAGTATGGCCGAGATTCAAATCCTATCACTGACAATTACTTGTTTGACCTTGGGCAAGTCACTGCACCTCTGGTATTCTTCTCCCATATCTTTAAAATGAGGGCATTAGGCTAGATGGTCTCTGAGGTCCCTTCCAGCCCCAGACCTTTGATCCTATGATTTTCCTATAACCCTATTTGATGTAGAGAGGCATTCACTATATGGCAAATGACTCTTAGAACCTGTTGTTAAGTTGTTTTTCAGTCATGTCCAACTCTTTGTGACCTAATTTGGGATTTTCTCGGCAGAGATAATGATATGGTTTACCATTTCCTTTTCTAGCTCATTTTACAGATGAAGAAACCGAGGAAAACAGGGTTAAATGACATGACCAAAGTCATACAGCTAGCAAGTTGCTGAGGTCAGATTTGAACTCAGGAAGAGGAGTTCTCCTGACACCAGGCCTGGTATTCTACCCACTGTGCCACCTAGCTGCCCTTAGAACCTGTGACACTGTGGGCCTAATAATATTCTCCATGATTAACTTCTTTCAATCAGTGGTTTTCCTGTCAACTAGATTCCAAGTTTCTACCTCCTTTATTTTTGAGAAATCTTTCAGTTACCTCTCCACAATCTGCCAGAATACCACTGTCATTGAAGGTCATTTGATTTTGAAATAGAAGGAACTTTAGAGGCCATCTGGTCCAATTTATACACTCTTACAAATGAGGAAACTGAGGCCCAGGGAGGTGAAGCCATTTGCCCAAGGTCACATAGTCATAACTGGCAGAGCAGAGATTTAAATCCATTTCCTCTAATTTTTAATTCCAGTCTTTCTCCCCATAATGTTGTAGATCAGGCCTGATTAGGTCTGGTCTGGTGCTTGAGGTCTGCCATTAGAATGAAAGGAAACCATCTAACAGTTAACAAAAGGAGGTTACTTGGCCAGAGCAAGGAAAGGCTATGCATGAAGGACATAGCGTGGATTCAGCGGAACATGGCTTGCTGCCTCTGTGTCGTCCACACTGGCTTGCTGGCAAGTCTTAGTCCATTCAGCCAATTTAGTCTGGAAGATGGGTTCAATATATTTTAAGAAAAACCAGGCTAGCCTATATGGTAGATATTGCTCCTACCACATGATGATCAACTTTTTGGTGAGAACTCTCCCTACACTTAATTTGGCTATTCTTTGAATGACACAATGACATAAGCCAAACTTATCCATCTTGGTAGAATTTGCCAGAGATTGTATTCCATCTATGGGTACAATCTTGGAGAACCCAGTACCACCTCCATGTGATCATGAGAAAATCAAGGAGGACTTTGGTGGGTTTCAGTGGGATTATTTGTTGCTGTTCTTCTTGCTTCATCTATAAATGAAACCAAAGAGATGTGACTCAGATTGAATTCTCTTCAGGTTATCTAGAGCCGACCTGCTTCAACAATTTTCCCTTATTATATGAGGTTTATAATTTTTTCTACCATCTTTCCCCATAATGTTTTATTTTATAAATAAATAATGTTTTCCCCAACTACATTTACAAACAAATTTTAACATTCACTTAATTTCTTTTGAGTTCCAAATTCTCCCAATAATGTTTTATAACTAAACTTGCTTTCCAAACTTGCATTGCCTTTGGCTGCTGTGTCTTTGACCCAGCAAGGATATAAAATGTTCTGTAGTTCAGGCAATTTCTGGGATTCCTTCAGCCTTTTTATTGTAGCCACTGTTTGCTATCCGTTAAATTTCTCTACGTCATATGTTTAGGGAGGATTATGCATTTAGTTGTGAGCAGTATAATGTAGTCTATCTCAGATGAGTTCTCAACTTCCCTCCAACCCCACCTCTACCCTCCTTACCTTAAATGATTTGAGAGAATTGCTCAAAGTCACATATACTTTGACTGCCATTGAGAAATGCAACCTCATCTCTATTTAATTTGATGAATACTATGTGGCACAGTGGATAGAGCACCAGCCCTGGAATCAGGAGGACCTGAGTTCAAATACGACTGTAGACACTTACTGGCTGTGTGACCCAGGGCAAGTCACTTGACCCCATTTTCCTCAGTCTCCTCATCTATAAAACAAGCTGGAGAAGGAATCGGCAAGAAATGGACCGTTTGGGGTTGGCCCACAAAGAGACTGAGATGACTCAACAACAACAACAACAAATTCAGTGATTTGGAGAGGATTTGGGTGAGTTCTGACCCCCAGATGTGTAGAGAGCAACCTTGTGGGGAATGGCACTCAGGCCTGATTCGACGACATATGTGATGTTACAGTTGGATTGTGGGGTTTGTATTGAAGATTCTCACATAGTTTTAGGAATGGGAGGAAAGAAGGACAGGAGGAAAGAAGAGGGATTGGAAAGTAAGCCTTGGTTTGGAAGAAATACAGCATATAAGCTGTGGAAGCTTTGGAAGACAGATTTTATGGGAGCTTATGAAGAGGAGAGCCAAAACTCTAATTTCGACCTTTCTATTAAGCAGAGACTGGAAGATAGAATCAGAAAATTTCAGAACTGGAAGGAACTTCTGAGATCATCTGGTCCCTATCTTCATTTGACAAATGAGGAAACTGTGACTCCATGGAGTCTCTGCCTAAGGTCATGCAGCTGGTTAGTAGCAGAGATGGTTCTTGAAGCCAGGTCTGCTGATTTCTACTCCAGGGTTTTTCCCCATACCATGCTTGGTTTCAAATTCCATATCAAATTCCCAAATTTCTAACAGATGGTAAAATCAGATATCTCAGAGAAGATTCAATCCCCAGTGGGACTTTGGTTTTCTGGTTGGCTAGTTATAGGACCAGTTCAGCCCTAGGTAAAATTATAAAATCAGTGACATTTGCTTTTGCTACTCTCCTTCTATTGCTTCTCTCTCCTACCCCTATTGTTCTCTCTGGGGGATTGTCTGAACACTTTCACATTGTCTTCTCTTCAGCTGGCTGTCAACCAAAATGTTATCTAATGAAGCTTAATAATGCTCAGACATATTTACATTTTAAGAGGTTACTCTAGTACCAAAAAGCCTTCATGATCCAATCGAATAAAAATACAATGGTAGAATGACATGAAATATTTAATTGGATAGAACAAACATTTAGGATCATAGATCTAGAAGGTACTTTAGAGGTAATCTAGTTCAACCCACTTATTTTACAAATGAGGATACTAAGTCAGAGAGAGGTTAAGTGACTTGTCCAGACTCACACAGGCTTTAAATAAAAGAAGCCTGGATTTAAACCATCCCCCGACCCCAGAACCAACATTCTTCCTATTGCACTATGCTGCCTCCCTTTTGGTCTGTTGCTTAGAAAAATGACGACCTCGAAAACAGAAAGACCTGGGTTCAAGTCCTACCTCTGTGTGACCCCAGGCAAGTCACCTTAACCTCTCAGTGCTCTTGGCAATTCCCTAAAAATATAATTTGCAGAGAAAGTGCCAATCTGTGTGAACTTGGACAAGTAATTCAACCTCTCCAGGTCACAGTATTCTCATCTGTAAAATGAGAGGGTTGGGCTAGATTACCACTAAGGTCTAGATCTATGATTCTAAATGTTTGTTCAATCAAATCAAATATTACTTCATGTCATTCTTTGTTGTTGTTCAGCCTTATTCAACTTTTTGTGACCCCATTTAGGGTTTTCTTGGAAAAGATACTGGATTGGTTTGCCATTTCCTCCTCCAGCTAATTTTACAGATGAGGAAACTGAGGCAAAACAGCATTAAGTGACTTGCCCAGGCCCAGGGTGACACACCTAATAAGTGTCTGAGGCTAGATTTGAACTCATGTCTTCATGACTCCAGGCCCCTGGTATATCCACTGTGCCATCTAGCTAATCCCCCTTATCATTCTACTGTTATATTTTTATTCCATTAGATCATGAAGATTCTTCACCCTTAAGTTCCCTATATTACTTAAATCACAGGTCTAGTTCCTATCCCTATGTTCAAGGCACTGTGCTAGATGCCAAGTGAGAAAGACAAAATTTTAAAAAAAGTTTCTGGGGGCGGAGCCAACATGGCAGAGTAAAGGCCCACTGAGCTCTCCCACTAGACCCCTCCAAAAACCTTTAAAAATGACTCTAAACAAATTCTAGAACAGTAGAACCCACAAAAAACAGTGTGAAACAGATTTCCAGCCCAAGACAATCTGGAAGGTCAACAGGAAAGGTCTGTTACACCAGGGTGAGAGAGGAGCGCAGTGCAACACAGGCTGAGCCAGTACAGACTGGGCTCAGCAAACCCAGAGCAGGCCTAGGGGTGACTGAATCAGTGTCAGAAATGGAGGTTTCCAGACTTCTCAGCCCACAGACACTAAAGACAATTTAGGTTGGCAAGAAAGGTCTGTTGGACCTGGGTGAGAGAGGAGTACAGTCTAGTGCAGGCCACGGCAGCACAGCACCTGCCTGAGCAAACCAGGAGCAGGCCTTGGGAGTGACTGAATCAGTAGTGGCAGCAGCTGCTTCTGGAATTCTCTGGTCAGAAGGAGATTACAGGGGTCTTTTTGCTGAGGCAGGACTCTATTGCTTTGCCCATCCAGTCCCAGGGTGAGGAGGAGCACTAGCATAATAGAGCTTGCAGTCACAGTGGAGTGGGGACTCTCCTCACAATTCCGGGGTAGAAAAGAGTGCTCCTGGTCACTCACAGACCAGAACACAGGCCAGGAAAGTAGTAAACACCTCTCCTTAAATCATACCACCTTGGAAGAACTGAAAACTTATAGGTCCCTAGAAGTATCTCTGAAAATAGCTGCACAAAACCCCTGAAGCTTGGGAGAGTTTGCCCTCCACATTGGAAGCAGAGCCCTACCTTAATGAAGAGTTAAAAAGTCAAGTAATAAGGGGCAGTTAAGTGGCGCAGTGGATAGAGCACCGGCCCTGAAGTCAGGAGAACCTGAGTTCAAATCCGGCCTCAGACCAAACACTTGACACTTACTAGCTGTGTGACCCTGGGCAAGTCACTTAACCCCAACTGCCTAAGCTTTTTTGCTTTTTTGCAAAAAAAAATCTGACAATAGAAACTTACTTTGGTGACTGAAAAACACACTGAGAAGACAACAAAGTCAAAGTTCCTATATCCAAAGACTCCAAGAAAAACATGAATTGGTCTCAAGCCATGGAAGAACTCAAAAAGGATTCTGAAAATCAAGTAAGAGAAGTAGAGGAAAAATTGGGAAGAGAAATGAGAATGATGAAAGAAAATCATGAAAAACTAGTCAACAGCTTGCTAAAGGAGACCCAAAAAAATACTGAAGAAAACAATACCTTAAAAAATAGACTAGACAAAATGGCAAAAAAGGTACAAAAAGCCAATAAGGAGAAGAATGCCTTAAAAAGCAGAATTGGCCAAATGGAAACTGAGGTCCAAAAGCTCACTGAAGAAAATAATTCCTTAAAAATTAGAATGGAGTAAATGGAAGCTAATTACTTAATGAGAAATCAAGAAATTATAAAACAAAACCAAAGGAATGAAAAAATAGAAGACAATGTGAAATATCTCATTGGAAAAAACAACTGACCTGGAAAACAGATCCAGGAGAGAGCATTTAAAAATTACTGGACTATCTGAAAGCCATGATCAAAAAAAGAGCCTAGACATCATCTTTCAAGAAATTATCAAGGAAAACTACCCTGATATTCTAGAACCAGAGGGCTAAATAGAAATTGAAAGAATCCACTAAACACCTCCTGAAAGAGATTCCAAAATGAAAACTCCAAGGAATATTACAACCAAATTCCAGAGTTCCCAGGTGAAGGAGAAAGTATTGCAAGTAGCCAGAAAGAAACAATTCAAATATTGCGGAGCCACAGTCAGAATAACACAAGATTTAGCATCTTCTACATCAAAGGTTTGGAGGGCTTAGAATAGATATTCTAGTGGGCAAAGGAGCCAGGATTGCAACCAAGAATCACCAATGGGTGAAACTGAGTACAATTTTTCAGAGGGAAAAATGGACATTCAGTGAGATAGAGGAATTTCATGCATTCTTGAGAAAAGACCAGAGCTAAATAGAAAATTTGACTTTCAAATACAAGACTCAAGAGAAGCATGTAAAGTTAAACAGGAAAGAGAAATCATAAGGGACTTATTAAAGTTAAACTGTTTACATTCCTACATGGAAAGATGTATTTGTAACTCATAAGAACTTTCTCATTATTAGGGTAATTGGAGGGAATATATATATATATAATATATATATGTATATATATATATGGCACAGGGTGAGTTGAATATGAAGAGATGACATCTAAAAAATAAAATTTGGGGGTGAGAGAAGAATGTACTGGAAGAAAGTGAAAGGGAGAGGTAGAACTGGGTAAATTATCTCACATAAAGGAGGCAAGAAAAAGCTTTTACAGTGGAAGGGAAGAGGGGGAAGGTGAGAGGGAGTGAGTAAACCTTACTCTCATCAGAATCGGCTCAAAGAAGTAACAACACACACACAATTGGGTATAGAACTCTATCTTACCCTACAGGAAAGTAGGGGGGAAGAGGATAAGGGGGGGGGTGACAGGAGGAAAGGCAGATTAGGGGAGGAGTAGTGAGAAACAGAACACTTTTGAGGAGGGACAGGGTGATAGGAGAGAGTGAATAAAATAAATGGGGAGGGGAGGATAGGATGGAGAGAAATGTAGTTAGTCTTTCATAACATTACTATTATAGAAGTGTTTTGCATGACTATACACATATTATATCAAATTGTTTGCCTTCTCAATGATGGGGGTGGGGAGAGAAGGAGAGAGAGAATATGGAACTCAAAGTTTTAAAAATGAATGTTAAAATTATTTTTACATGTAACTGGGGAAAAATAAAATACTAAACAAAAATTTAAAATGTTTCTGACCTCAAAATTATACATTCTATTGTGTCAATATTTTGAAAGGCACCTGCTTGGTGTCCATTAGATAGGGTAGCAGCAAAGAAAAATGAACAAAAAACAACAACATGAGATTTGGAGTCAGAGGACCTGGATTCAAACCCACACTCTACTTACAACCTGTGTGACCATGGGCAAGTTGTTTAACTTCGCTAGGCCTCAGTTTCCCCATCTTTAAAATGAGGGAGTTGGACTAGATACCTCTAAGGTGCCCCCTTCCACCTTTCTAAATCCCTGATCCTATAATCTTGTGCCCACAGTGTTCTCTGCCTGTTCAAAAGTTCTGCACTGGCTATCTAAACTGGTCCAAAGGAGATAAAAATAGGAGGAAAAAAGTTTTTAGGGTAGTGAGACAGCAGCCATTTTCCTTTCTTTATTATGGGTGGTAATAGAGACAGTCTGAAAAGAGGGGATCCCCTAGCTGCAAGGTGACTAAATATAAGCAATTATTCCTATTCCCAAGTTTCTGAGTCATTCTCTCTTACTTTCTCACTTCCCTGAGAGGAAAAGGGAAGGGAAGTGTTTGATTCAGCAATCAAGGCCCACTGCTTCCTTCATGGGTAGAATAAGCAGCACTTAGCACCCAGGGAAGATTGCCTGACTTCTTTTCTTCTTGGATTTTGAAAGTAAATGAGCTCTCTGATGAGCAGAGCAGAATTCAAGCTAAGTGACATCATACTTTGTTTCTATCTCTGCTAAGATGCCTGGTGCACCACATTACCTGTTTATCTCTGACCCCCCCCCCCCAGTACTGATTCCAGACAGATTTCCAACACTAATAACTGTCCCAGTGATTAGAGCTACTTTCTGAAAGGAATACAAGCAAGCAGCCTGCTCATCCTCCTAGTTACAAAATGTTGGAAAGATCACTCACTGGTCATGTTTTTTCCTTTGTTTTCAGTGTCTACCCACACCCATGCTAGTTAATAGTGGCACTGTACAATCATCTTAGAAAATACAGAAAAAAAGTAAAACCCAGATTCATCGGTCTGGCTTTCAAAATCCTGCATCAAATACAGACCCCCACACACCCCCAGCACATCCAGCTTCACCTGTCAAAGGAGAGTTGGATTTAGTGACCTCCACGGTTCCTTTCATGTTCTGCTATTCTATGACTCTGTGTAAATCTTGCTAACCTTTTTTCCGCCCAGAATCTCTTCTCCAACCAAGGTAATTAATTGGCTTATCAACTCCTAGCAATTTAACTCCCATGCCTGTCTTTTTTTCCACAAACCATTACTCTTACAGAGAAAACTGTCCTTCTATCCAACAGCTCATACAGAATCATAGAATTTCATTCAATTCTGCACAATTAAAGAATCATAGAATTATCGAATCATAGAATTTCATCCAATTCTTTAATTGAACAGAGGGAGAAACTGAAGTTTAAAGAAGCCTAAATCTTATTTCCCCAAGACAGCACAATAAATGGAGGGAGAGAAGAAAGGCTACTAGGACCCATACCTCCTGGCTCCTCAGTTCACTGTTTTTCCATACAGTATATTGCCTTTTACTCACCTACATCTTATTTTCACTGCATATCACTCTCTCATTAGATTACCTTTCTGTCTAAATAAAAGCAAACTAATTCAGAAATCCTTTTTTCCTACCTTCATTTTTCTAATTTTGTTTCTGATCACCCCCACCTCCCCTCACCCTCTCTGCACATCCTTTAAAAGCTGCTTCAAAACTGGTCTGCTCCATAAAGACTTTTTTGATGACTCCCCATCCAAGTGCGATCCTGCCATTAGTCAGAATTCCATCACCACATAAGGGCATTCAGTGGACACAGTGAGACGATTTTATTAGATGACTTCTACGTCCCTTCCAGTTCTAAACCTCTCTGAGTCTATCTAGATTTCAGCTAAGTATTTGACATAATGTCCCATGATATCCTTGTGGTAAGATGATAAAATGTGAGCTCAGGGTAGAACTATTAGAAAGACTTGGAGCTGTTTGAAAAATCACTCAGTGATGATCAATGCCTCTGTCAAATGGGAGAGTCTCTAGTGGTGGTAACCTGAAGGAGTGTGACTTGGCCTTGGGTTATTCAACATTTTTATCAGTAAGTTGATGAGGACATAGAAGACATACATTTTCAGATGACACAAGGCTGGGAGGCATAACCAATTCCAAAAATAAGAGAATAAAGATTTAAAGCTCAACTAGTTGGAACATTGGAAACAGCTGGAAACTGGTATGATTAAATTCAATGTATTCCATGAATGCTGTATGTGTAAAGTTCGGCATTTGGGCTAAAGAGAAACCCAACTTTTGGATGATAATGACGTGAGTCAGATGTAGTTTATGTCAAAAAGATCCAGGAATTTCTATTTATCACAAATTTAGGATGAGCCAAAAGTATGGTGTAGCTACTAAACAAACAAACCATAACAAAAAATGAATACTTTCGGGAGGTTCACACCTTGATTTCATTGGTATAGTGAACTTTTCCCCCCTATTGGCAACTCCTCTATAATTTACAGGATTGCCTAGGATTGTCAGAGACAGGATTTAAACCAAGGTCATCCCAACTCCACAGCAAGCCCTCTACCCATTTTGCCACATCACCTCTCATTGCAGCTGAGACTGCATTAAAAAAGGAGCATGTTGTCCAAATTGTGCATACCAATCATCCCATTCTATTTTGTGCTCATTGGATCACATATGGAGCACTGTGTCCACTTCCCCACGACAACAGGCAAGTCACCTAGAATTTTTGAGCTTTGGCTCATTACAAAAAAAAAAAAAGTGATATTTGAACTCCCTAGCTAGGACAATACATTCAGAGCTAAAAGAGACCTCAGACTCCATCTAGACCCATCTTCTCACTTTATAGAAAAGAAAACTTGAGGCCTAAAGAACTGAAATGATGGGTCTAGGGTCACAGAGCTGGTATGTAGCAGGGCTGGGATACAAACCCAGGCCCTCTAATTCCAAATTCTTTCCACAGTACCACACATAACAGTGGTGAGAAAAAACATTGAATAAAATGTTAAATTCCATGTAAATGTTACCTATTCTTAGTACTACAATTCTTGGCACCAGATTTCTGGAAGGACGTTGATAAATGGGTCATTACTGAAGGAGGGGACCGAGATGATGTCCAAGATAGAACACAAACCACTTTCTATAAAAGGAAATTAAAGAACCTGGGGATGTTTAGCCTTGAGAAGAGAAAAATGATTGATATCCTCTGTCAAGTAGAGAAAAAAGATAATTTTGTTCTGTGGCGCTCCACAGACCAATTAGTGGAAACTGCAGATAGATTCGGTATCAATATAAAGAAGTAAAAATTAGAATTATTTTAAAACGGAAGGTGCCACTTGAAAAGGATGAAGTCACTCAATTTTTAAGAGAACAGCTCAAGCAGTGACCACTGGTCAGATGGGAGGCGGAAGGGCCTTCTCCTGACAATGGAAGGGGCTCCCCGGGGCGGGGGAGGGGCTTTCCCGGGGCGGGAGGGGCCGCTCGGCCCTGCGCTGGGGGCCCCTAGAACGCAGCGGGCAGCCAGCCCCGCGCCCCGGCCTCTGGGCCCTCGGGCCGTTCTCCTTCCGGCCTCCGACCCCGCGCCGACATATCCGCCAGGGCAGAATATGCGTCCTTCTTGGCCGACGTGGGCGCCGCGGCCGCCATGGTCTTCAGCGCTCTCTGTGCGGCCTACGGCAAGGCGAAAAGCGGCGCCGGGATCGCAGCCATGGTCGCAGGGCGCCCCAGGCATATCGTGAAGTCCATCGTCGCCGTGGTCATACCGGGCATCGTCGCGATCGACGGGCAGGCGGTGGCCGTGCTCCTCACCCACCCTCACCCGGTCCGGACCAGCCTGCTGCTGGGGGCCGGCCTGAGCGTGGGCCTGAGCGGCCTGGCCGCGGGCTTTGCCGTCGGCACCGTGGGCGGCGCGGGGGAGCGGGGCCCGGCGCAGCAGCCGCGGCTCTTTGTGGGCGTCACCCCGGTCCTCGTGTTCGCCGAGGTGCTCGGCCTCTACGGCCTCTTCGTGGCCCTCATCGTCTGCACCAAGTAGCCCCTCCCCCCTCCTTCTACTGCTCCCACCCCCGCAGCCACAGAGGATGGTGGTGGTCTTTATACCAGTCTTGACCACCCCGTGCCTCCCGATTCGCTCCAGAGCTAATGGCCTGATACTGGGGGCAGTTCTTGTAAATGCGCAATGTCTTCGTGACGCTTCTGCCTGTGTCCACTGCACCGGACAGGACGAAGCCCGGACTGGGCAGAGCCAGCACTGGACGAAGCCCGGACTGGGCCCTGCTGGGGCCGAGGCTTCCTGGGATCGGCCAGGCAGCCGTGCGACCCCCCCCCCACCCACGTACCTTAGTGCTCTGTGTATACAGATGAATTAGAATTGTCCTTTTTCTCTACACTGGATGTTTATTTATAAAGATTTGACGTGTTCATAACGTTTATGGAACAAGAATTTTCAACTCCCCGTGAAAATTTTCAATTTTCAATTTCAATTTCCCATATGTTAATCCTCAGTATAGGTAGATTATTGCACAGTGGGGTTAAATTATGTCAAGTGCTGAAAAGTCTTTGGAAGTGATCATTTGAAATTCAAGATTCCTGTAGTGCCCTGGTATTAGTGATAATGGCAGGATTTGGGAACATGTTGAACATGTGTTTCCAGTGGTGTTCTGTTGCACGGGCCGGGTCTCACAGGGAGGTTTCCAAATAAAATTCTGACTGGAAAAAAAAAATAGAAGCTGAGAGTAGAAGAACTCTAATGCTTTTTCCAGCCTTCCTAATCTATGATCCTTTACTCAGTTATTATTATATTTACTTGTACTTGCTTCTGTGTTTTTTATAGTGGTTTGGTGTCAGTCTGTTAGTCGTTGTCTTAAGTGTTGGGGATACACAAAACAAACAAAAACAGTCACTGCTCTAAAGGAGTTCATTCTAATGGATGTGAAAATATACAAACAACTATGTGCAAACAAGATATGTGTATAATACACACACAAACACATGTATCCTTATACATAATATATGGATAAATTGAAGAGAGTCTCAGAGGCAAGGTACTAAGATTAAGAGGAATGAGAAAGGTTTCTTGCAGAAGGTGATGCTTAATAAGCTGAGACTCCAAGGAAACGAGGGAAGCCCAGGAGGGGAGACGAGGAGAGAGAGAGAGAGCTCCAGGCACGGAGGACAGCTAGTGAAATGATGGGGAGTTGGGAAATGCAAAGAATCACTGGATCACAGAGTGTATGTAGGGAGGTATTGAGGCTGAGGAGAGAGTAAGATGCCAGAAAGAGTAGGAAAATGTCGGTTTAGGAAGGGCTTTCAAAGCCAATCAGATGATTTTATGTCTGAGCCTGGAGGTGATAGGGAGCCACTGGAGTTTATTGAGTAGGGTGTCGACATAGTCAGATCTGTGTTTTAGGAAGATCACTTTGGCAGCTCAGTGGATATGGACTGGAGTGAGGAGAAACTAGTGGTAGACTATTGTAATGGTCCAGATGGGAGGAGATAAGGGCCTGTCCAGGTTCATAGCAGTGTCAGGGTAGAAAAGGAGGTATATGAGAAATATTATACATTGTTTTGAGTTTAAACAGTGTTTTATTTTTTCCAGTTCCATGTAAAGACAATTTTTAACATTCATTTTTTAAAAATTGAGTTCCAAATTTTCTCTCTTCCTCTCTCCCCTCTTACCTCCCTAAAACAGTAAGCAGTTTAATATGTTGTCTATGCTCAATCATGTAAAACATCTTTTGATATTAGGTATGTTGTGAAAGAAGAAACAGACCAAAAGGAAAAAACCCCCCAAAAACATATTGGAAGTGAAAATGGTATGCTTTGTTCTGCATTCAGACTCCATCAATTCTTTCTCTAGATGCGGAGAGCACTTTCCATTATGAGTCCTTTGGAATTGTCTTGGATCATTGTATTGCTGAGAAGAGCTAAGTCATTCATAGTTGATCACTACACAACGTCACTGTTACTGTGTACAAATGTTCTCCTGGTTTTGCTCAATTCACTTTGCATCACTTTATGTTAAGTGTTTCTTGATTTTTTCTGAAGTCTTCCTGCTCATCATTTTTCATAGTGCAATGGTATTCCATTACATTAATATACCATGATTTGTTCAGGCATTCTCCAATTGATGAGCATCCCCTCAATTTCCAGTTATGAGATATATTATGAAGGTAAAATTGGCAGGCTACAGTAACAGATTGGATGTGAAGAGTGAGAAAGACTAAGCATCAGGAATGACACTTGTGTTGTCAGCCTGGGTGACTGGGAGGATTGTTGTTTAAGATGTCTTCCACACGTCCAGTTAATTTGCCCAATATGCAGTTGGAGACAAGTGACTGGAGGTCAGTTCAGTTTAGAGCTGGACAGAGAGATTTGAGAATCAAGTTAGTCTGCCCTCCCAGTTAGTTTGTAAACTGTTTAAGGTCAGGGCCAGTGCCTGACGATTCATTTGGATTCCTTCTAACTAGCCTAGCTCATTGCTTTTCATTATGCAGGTACTCAGAACAGATGTTGGCTGACTGACAATTTATGTAGCTAGAAGCAAGTAGAGCTATGCATGGGAATGAGATCCCCCTGGTTTGACACTGTTTGATATTTACTTTGAGGAGTCCAAGAATCCTTTTTTCATTTCTACTGAGACATTGAATTTGGTCACCCTGTAACAAGCCACACTGCTGGGCACTTTTAGTTTCATTGTATGTCACACATATAAGGGGGATCCAATGACAAAGATGAACTGAAAGGAATTTTCAAAATATTTTAATTCAGAACTACTAAAAGAAAGTTTACCAACTTTTTATTGTATAGGCTGTGAGAACTTTACTTCTCCTAAGATATGCTATGTGAGGTACATGTGGTAACTGCATTAAATAGAAGTATCTACAAGAAGTGAAAATTTACCAAACTCATTGTTTTATTTTGTTTATAGAGTTTGCAGGTAAGAACTGTATAGAATTCCAGACCTAGGCTAGGTATTCACAGTCAAAATCATATCACTACATTTCTTCAAACATCTCTACAGCCATTTTGCAGCAATGATTGTAGAAGAGATTTATGCCGTTAGATTGTAAGCTCCTCAAGGGCAGAGGTAGTCTTTTGCCTCTTTTTGTATCTCTAGTGTTTAGCACAGTGCCTGGCACATAGTAGGTGCTTAATAAATGTTTATTGATTAATCAATTTTATTGATGATTGGCCTGGCCTCAAAACCACACATCATAAATAAAACAATCCATTTTTGAGAGGTTTCAGCATGAAAAACAATGAACTTGGACTTAAGTCTTCTGTTTGAGTTTACCTGTATGCCCTCAAGGTAGCTATTTTACCTCTCTAAGCTTTGGGGTCCTCATCTGCACAATAATAATAATATTCAGCACTTATACATCACTTTAAGGTTTACAGAGCACTTTACATGTTAACTCATTTGATCCTCTCTCTTTCTTTTTTTCGTTGGGCAATGGGGTTAAGTGACTTGCCCAGGATCATACAGCTAGTAAATGTCAAGTGTCTGAAGTCGGATTTGAACTCAGGTCCTACTGACTCTAGGGCTGGTGCTCTATCCACTGTGCCACATAGCTGCCCTCATTCGATCCTCTCAACAACCCTGTGAGGTAAAGGCTATTATTATCCTCATTTTACAAATGAGTAAACTGACTCTGAAAAAAAGTTAAGTGACTTGCCCTGAGTCACACAGCTAGTAAGTGTCTAAGAGAGGATTTGAACTCATGTCTTCCTGACTCCAAGTCCAGCACTCTATCTATTGTATTGCCTGCCATAAGGAGATTCAAAGATATAATCTACAAAATTCCTTCCAGATTTATTGTTCTCACATACTTCAAAGGATCTGTGATTTCATCTGTGTTGGCATTCCTTCCACCGATGCAAATTTGCCTAAACAGATGGCAAACCATTGTGAGTTGCCTTGGCCAAAGACAATCATTGCCTAATAGTTAACTTTCTGTGGAAGAGTCTTCCTAAATTTATAAATCAATAAAAACTTTAATATTAAGTACTTACTGTGTGCCAGGAACTGTGATAAACACTGGAGATACAAAAGGAGGCAAAAGACAATCCCTGCGCTCAGGGAGCTTACAATCTAATGGCAGAAATCTCTTCTACAACCATTGATGCAAACTGATTAGAGATTTTTGAAGAAATGCAGTGATATTATTTTGAAGGTGAACATTAGCATAGGTCTGCCACTCTATTCAATTGTTACCTGCAGACTCTATGAACAAAATAAAAGGATGAGTTGGTAAATAAGGTAAATTTATAAGCGTTGTTCCTCAGATGACAGGCTTATAATTCATCACTGCTCCTGGAACTTTTCCATGTTGGTAGCAACTGCCCAATGTTGTGCTCCTGTTGGCATAACCTTTTATCCAACCCAGGTCACCTCCATAGGAGGAGATATGAGAGTAAGGCTTTAGTGTAGGCTATTTTCCACATCACTTCTAAATTTGAAAGTGTTTCCCTAAAATCGAAATTTGTTCTTAATTCTTTAATGTGTGCATATGTTTTGATGAATTTTAACATTTTAGTTTTGAATCATGTTGATAGGATAAGCTATAGATGGACAGACAGAATACTACATTGGTATCCCCAAATACTAAACAAAGAAGAAGAATAGTCTCTAATGAATTCCATAGATATCTTAGAGAGAATTAACAAGTAAATGTTGAGAATATTACAGGATGTGAAGCTAGAGAGAGCTTTGACCTGTATAAGGTAGAAGTGCCCATACTCATAGTTGTAGCAAAGCATCAATCAAAGATTCATAGATAAAGCTGAAAGCTGGAGGAATTATCTAATCCAACTTTTTTTTTTTTTTAATAGAAGAGGAAATGGCAGCCAAAGAGAAATTGAGCGACTTATTCAAGATTATAAAACTCATAAATGGCCCGGCCAGGATTTAACTTCAGTCTTCTGACGTCAAATCCAATGCCTTTTCCAGTTCAGAAACCTTTATTAAGTGTCTATTATATGCCATGAACTTGCTACACCCTAGGGATACAGAAGCAAAAATGAAAAACTCCC